CTTCCTCTAGTAGGAGTGTTTACCTAAATGTGAGCTTTAGTTTGTTGGGATACTGTGCCGTGTGCATGTACCAAGAGCCCACTGGATCTGTCCGAACACCTCTGGGGAGGTCGACGAGAACCCCGGTGCTGTTCCCTCTTCCAAAGCAGGAAACAGAGAAGTTAAGTGTCTTGCTCAAGGTCACTGTCTGAAGTCCCTTTTGAAGTTTGGGCACTCATACCCTGGGGGATTTGGGGTTCCCACCTCCCCATGTGCTCCTATCACTGATGCCAAAGCCTTAGTACTACAGGAGAAATGAACTGTGGTGTTGCCCCCCATGGGGTGACCATGCTGCCCAATCTAGTAAAGCCACATAGTGGCTCTTCATGATGACACTGTCGGGGAAGGGCCCTGAGCAGAGTGTGGGCTTTATTGCCTGCATGTTACCTCCATGCCAGGTGTTTCCTGCTCTGCAGATAGCTCCTTCATCAGACATTTCCAACTCTGATTCTGCGCCAAATATTTGGCACAGGTAAGAGGCATCCTTTGCTTCCTTCCTCTTTCCCTGTAGCTTAAGAATAAAAAGCATGGAAGCTGGAATGGTAGAGACATTGAGCTGCTAGGAGAAGGGGTAGGCTCATCTCCAAAAGGGGATTTCGACCTTAGACTCATACCAGGGAGCACATGCCGGCTATCACCTGGAGCCTGGGAAAGCTCCTTTTCCAGAATTTACACGGCTGGTGTTTTGACCCCAAACCACTGCCAACACACATGGGGGGGTTGTTTAATGATTAAAATTTTTAAATAGTTGTATTTCTCCCCTTGTTTATTTTTCTAGAAGGTAGTAAAGAGAATTTCACTTACATTTGTGTCTTTGGTTGCGTGAAGATGAGAAAAAGGGAATGGGTGGGGATGGTCTTCTCTCATCCCTTAAATCCTTTATTCTCCTCCATAGCATTTATGACCTTCAATATCCTATATATTTTGCTTATTTATTTTGATTTTATACCTGTTTACCCCACTAGAATGTGTCCTCCCTGAAGACAGAATTGCTTGTATTTATATCTAAACCTGGGCCTGATACCTAGTAGGTACTCAAAATTTTTGTTGATTGAATTAATTAATCCTTCCACTAGACGTAGCTATTCGAACCAACTCCAGAGTCCCTGAATTTGTTCCAGATGTTGAAGGGCAGAGGCTGAATTGTAGGACCTGAGATTTTCCAAATATAAATCCTAGAAAGTGCTATAGTGATTCAGACAGTAGACCTAGACTAGTATTTTGATGGGAAGAATGTTACGGCAATGCCTGGCTGTTCGCCTTGACATCTGCCTCAGAGGTTGGGCATCATCATTCATTCATTCAGCCAGACAGGCAGAGAGTCAATCTTTTATCAATAATTAGCTCTGGGAATAGAAAGCTGAACAAGATATATAGGCCCATTCCCTCATAAATCTTGTCATCTATAACTAGATCAACATTTTGGGGGGAAATTATTTATCTTTTCAGCCTCTTCCAACCCTGTAAAGAAGCATTCCTTAGTGTCAGTGATGCTGGATCAATATGAGACAACAGTAGGGGTATATATGATGGTGGAAGAAAATGGGTAGAAAATTTCAGACTTGAAAAGTGCTGCCTCCTGATTTTTCTGCTACCTGCTCGCATCCCTTCTCTGATAAGGGGTCTGTTGGTGAGCATATCATTAGTACCTTGTATTAGTTTCTTCCATGATCACATCCTAGCAAATGGCAAGATGCTTAGTGACTTTTTTCTGTATGGCTTAGCGATAGCATATATGAAAAGAATTCTAGCTGTTGGTCTTTTGTAGATTCAGAGTGAGTCAACATTGAGATGAGGCTGCTGAGGGTGAGCAACAGTTATGTCCAAAGCGAGGCCAGTGATGGTCCCCTCACCCGAGCAGCTCTGGCAATCCCTGGAGCCCTGTGCTTGAGGAAACACAGAGGAGGGAAGAATACACCCAGGGTGAGGGCACTCAAAACTGTTTCATATGAGGAACAGTTAAAGGAACTGGGGATGTTTATTTTAGAGAAGACTCAGAAAAACCGTAAGCTCTGTCTTCAAATGGTGGAAGGGCTTTCCATGTGGGAGAAGTATTAGATCATTCTGGAGCCTCAGGTCTTGGAACAAGGATGGCTGGGTGATAGGACTTCCTACCGTCAGGGTATTCAAAGGTGGCCGCCTGGGGAGCCACCTCTGAGCCTCACTGCTTGATCCCTTAGGAGGAATGCAAGTCCTAATTTGTATCCTATCCGATGAGCCCAGATTCCTATGGAGCCAGCCTAGGGCATGGCAAGCAGATATGCTGACCAGGTAGAAGAGAAAATGACAGCTCTCATTTGGGTCTGCTTCTGTGATCCTCCTTTCCTCTGTTTGCCTTCGGTCAGCTGATTTTATTCCCCAAAATTCAAATATTCAGAGTCTCTATTAAAATATATATATTTAATAATATATGAAATAGTTAATGATACATGGAATACAAATACATGCATTTAATGATATATATAATATACATTATTATTATATATAATATATATATTATATACATGATAGAATTGCATGTATTGTAATGTGGGAACAACCTGAATGATGATTAAAAAAGAATAGTTGAGTAAATTCTAATGTATTATATGAACCATTATGCAGTTATTATGGACAATGAGTTAGGTCTGTATCTACTGCCCTAGATGGATGGGCAGACTAGAGAGTTAAATGAGAAAAGCAAGCGAAACATATTCAATACATAGTATGATCTTGTTTTGTGAGGATAAATTATATTTTAAATATTACATATGTAATCATGTTGGCATATAGTTTGTGTGAGGATGGCAAAAGTGGGGAAGCATAGAGATGAAGTGGTTGTTAACAGTAGTTGGAGAGTTTGGGGTGGGGTGGGGACCTGAGGGACAGAAGGGGCAGGAATAGAGACAAAGTGAAGGAAAGTGAGAGGGGACGACTCATCCATCTGTCTGTCTACCAATATCCATCTATCTACCTATCTGTCATCTATCTATCATCTGTCTATCTAGCTTCATTGTTTGTGCTTAAACAAGTCTTACTTTTGAGGACTTTAATAAAAGAAAGAAGAAAGAGAAAGAAAGAAAGAAAGAAAGAGAAGAAAAAGTCTTTCACTTTTATGCTGTTTTCTTTTTTTTTTTACTCTGTTGCTCTTATAAAAACTGTCTCAACGTTTCTATTAAGTACACTCCAGAGGTTTTATAATAAAAAAAAAACTATTTTCATTCTTTTGAGATGATGATTTAAACAGTTGAAAGAAATCTGGTGAATGTATAAAGATAAAATATTTTGAATCAAAATTGAGTTTCTAGATATCGTGAAAGATGAATGACTTAAGAATCATTTGTATTTTTCTTCATTGTTTCTTTGCTGTATAAGAGGTGTCCATTTTCTCCTAGTGCTCCAGAAAAATGTTCCCTTTCTTAAATCTAGGGAACACAGGGTCAGGTTAGGAGCACCCAACTCAGTTAAGAAATTTGCTAGTTTCTGGTGGGGAAGTGGAGCATTGAGTGGAGGGTTCTGACGTGTGTGTGGGGGGGTGGGGGTGGGTTTTTCTTTTTTGTTTTGTTTTGTTTTTGCGGTACGTGGGCCTCCCACTGCTGTGGCCTCTCCTGTTGCGGAGCACAGGCTCCGGACGTGCAGGCTCAGCGGCCATGGCCCACGGGTCCAGCCGCTCCGCGGCATGTGGGATCTTCCCGGACCGGGTCACGAACCCCTGTCCCCTGCATCGGCAGGTGGACTCTCAACCAATGCGCCACCAGAGAAGCCCCTGTATGGGTATTTTTAATCAGTTTTTCTCTGCTGAAATATCCAGTAAGATGCTGCTATGTTTTTCTGGGATTTGGTTACTTTCTTTCAAACTATTTTAGATAATTGTTTTCCATATTAAATTATCCTCATTATACATTCATTTTTGATGCCAATAGTTCTTTCTACATAAAGGATTTGTCTACATCCAGAATAGCCCCAGATGTTGTAGAGTTGGCTGGTGATTTAACCCCTGCTGATTATGAAAGAAGATTTGAGACAGAATAGGGTGCTGTTTCATATTCACATTTGGATGTAGTCTCAGAGCTGATCCCAAGCAGCCATACTGATACAGAGACAAATAATGAGTGGGTATGTCAGATCCATAGAAATAATAATACTAAGCATCGTATTTCTTTGATTTTAAGATGCTCGTTTTATATACTAACTGAAATCTGAATGCATCTTACTGCACTTGTGTGCATTTATTAGGTTAATATTGCAAGTCAACGGTGGTCTTATAATTAAAAGAAATCCTATAGAATCCCCTTGGCTGGCTATTGAGTTCTGGAAGTTTTAATGCAATTAGAACATTCCAGAATCAATGAACCTCAACCGGAATTTCAGCCTGCATAATGCTATCCTGATTTAGACAAAGCAGGAAGTTATAAAAGTGTTTCTTTTCATGCAAGCAACTGCCTCATTGATAGATAACACTAAAATGATCCTAAAATTATACGAAGTAGGATCTGTGCATGGTGACTCCATTTTTAAAATCCTGATTTTAGGTCAACGGCACCATCACTTTGGGAAAACTAGTCACGTGCAGTGACATTTTTCCACCTCACAGGCTAAAAAAATATTTCACTAGGCCAAAAACCTGAGTGGTACTTACAAACAATTTATCTATCAGAAGAGAGTGGGAAGAATGGAAGAGAAAATGTTATTTGAATCTGTGACCTGGAGAGAAGGAAAGAGCCATGAAAGGGGAAGCTGTGCTGACTGACTAGATTGCCTGTATCCTGAGTTTGCTTTAGGTGTCTTGTCAAGCATTTCCATTGAGTTTTGTTGTCACTGTTGCTTCGTTTTCTTGGGCATACTATCTGTTCTTTCAGAAAATCCCCCTGCCCCTCTCCCCCCAGGCTAGGCTGGAAGGCTTCATGGCTGACTCTCCTGTGTGTGTTTGAGTCCATGGTCTTTTGCTGCTTTTCTCATGCTTTTTCTTTATGACGTTTCAGCTCATCCACCATACACCATGTGCTTTAGAGTGAAATTCTACCCACACGAACCCTTGAAGATTAAAGAAGAGCTCACCAGGTATTTTTTTGTTTGTTTGTATGTTTAACGTGCCCCTTGAAACAGCCAGGGCCTCTGAGTTTTACTCTTGTCTAGAGCGGAGTGTCTCCACCAAGCAGGCGCTCAGCTCAGCATTTGGCTTGGAATGTTTCTCTTACATTTAATTGTCTTGGGACTTTTCAAACCGTTGTCATTGGGAGTGTAATTGACTGCACAAAAAAGCAGTGGGTTTAAGGAGGAGGTGCTCTCTGAAAACACCTGACAGTGGGATGCTAAAAATAAATAGAAGATGACTGCATTTAGGATATGGGCAAATTCATAGCTAGTGCAGCCCCTGGGACCTGTCTTTTGGATCTAAGCTTTTCTGAAGGGAAAAGATCCCTTGACAGAATGGTGAACTGTTTTGTCATCCCACATTCCGCTTGCTAAATGACCGACCGCGGAGCCGGCTTCCCTCTCCTTGTAGACTCTTCTCAGCCCACCTCTCTGCATTTTCTGGTTCTCGGGCCAGGGCCACATGCAAATAGTCCACCTTCTGGGGGTTTGGCTTCCGTGAACAGCCTTGGCCAATGCCACTGAGCAGGGTCCCGAGAGGGCCAACTCGGTGGATGGAGAAGAGCCCATGTGTGCTTAGCTCTTAATGAGCCTCTGATCTGGCGACCGAAAAAAGTCATTGTGTCTAGTCACCTCTCAGAATAATCTGCGTGGGTCCGAATGCAGCAGAGAAGCAAAGGCAGTTGACTCTGGTCATCATGTGCAGAGTCACATGCTGGGTTCTAGGGTATTGTGCTCTCTCATTATCCACGAGGGTCTGGTAAAGCTCCACCATAGTGACACAAGGTGATGTTGGAAGGGAGCCATTCTCTGTTAGTAATTTGTGCACAGCGGTTGGTGGAGGGTTGTGCTTGGGGGCGGGGCAGGGTATGCGTGGGAAAGGAGATGATGGACATTGTAAGTAGTGGTTGGTGTTTTGCAATCTGGCCTGCTTTTTTTTTTTTTAAATTAAGGTAAAATTCACGTAACATACATTTTTTTCACCGTTTCAAAGTGTACAATTCTGGAGCATTAAGTACATTCACAATGTAAGGCAACCATCACCATTATCTAGTTCCAGAACATTTCTTATCACCCCAAAAAGAAAGCCTGTACACATTAGCAGTCACTACCCACTCTCCCATCCCCCAGACCCTGGAAACCACTCATCTACTTTCTATCTCTATGGATTTACCCATTTTGGACATTTCATATAAATGGAATCAAATGGTATGTGGCTTCGGCCTGCTTTTGGCTTGAAAAATTTATTCATTTATTTGTTAAGTACTTCCTCAGTTCCTGCTGTCTGCAAGGGCTATATGAGCCACCTAAATAAATAAATAAATAAAGATATTTGTCCTACCCTCTGGGTGCTAACACTGTAATTAGGAAGATCAAATCAGATACTAATGCCAGGCATTATTTCATCAGGGGCCAATATAGCTTACTTTTGTCACTTGTTTTCTTTAAGACCTTGACCAGAGGATAAAAATTGAATATGTGTCACAATATAAATTAAGGATGGGTCTTTTGTTGGTGATGTTGAGAAAAGTCCCATTTGAAAATAAAAGGGTACAAAGTTTTAGTGAAATCTCTCTCAATTAAATTTGCTAGCACTTGCCTGCATTTGTCTGAATAACTAAGGTATGAATTGTGCGACATTGCAAACATTTTTATGTCCACAAAGGAAATTAAGACAATATAGGTAGAAATGGGTTTTTCTGAGTCAACACAGTCCTTAGAATTCAAAAGGGATCTACAAACTGTGGAATGACTCAGGTACTTATGATTTAAACCCTATCTTGAAAGAATTTAGTTTTTATTGTTTGATGTTATTTTATCCTAAGATTAATCTAAAATTTAAGAATTTAATAAATGAGAAGCTAAGATCACATTCATGACCAGGCTAAGGGGTAAAGAAACATCGAGAAAAAAGCGGTTTTAAAAGAGCAAAACAACAAAAATACTCACCAAAAAGGATATTTTTTAAATCCTTCTTTTATCTCTCCATGTACACAGTCACCTTAGAATCCTTTAGATTTCTGAGGCATTTGTAAATGCTATATACAATTGAATGTAATAAAAGCATGTTGGTTTTAAATTTTTTAGTAAGAACCACCTTTAAATTCATGTTAGATAGAGAAGCATATCACTAATGGGGGCGTAATAATGTATGCCCCAGATCCTCCTGTGTTTTTGTTGCTTAATTCTTTCATGCAGGGAGGGGTGAGACTGAAGGAAAATGCATTATTATTATTATTTTGGTGGCTATTATATTAAAAAATGAGTATCTGAACCTGAAGCCATTTGCAAGGCTCAGTGGATTATGTGGAATCCGTAATAATCCATGATTATCTCTAGAGTTCACTAATGTGAGCAAGGACCCAAACTCAGCTGTTGTGAAAGCGGATTTTCTTTTCTCAGGAAGCTTTTGTCAAACTCAATTTCTGAGTTATGGGATCAGAACCCAAACGTCTCATTCATCAGTAAATATTTATTTGAAACTATTTTCCACTACTAAGCTCACCAAAACGTGGAAAGGAATGCTTTTTGTTCAATGCATACATGCAGCACGTAGAAAAGAAACTTGATGGCATTTAGCCAGGTAGTTTACATTCTTTAGGAAAGGAAAGATTTCATCATCTCAAGTATTTGTGTGACCTTGGTATTGTGAATGATCTAGGGCCGTGGTCCTCAAAGTCACATCCCTGGATTAGCAGCAACAGCATCACTTGGGAACTTGGCCCCTGCCCCAGACCTGGGATGGGGCCCTGCAATCTGTATTTTCACAAGCCCTCCAGGTAATTTTAAAGCATGTCAAATTTTAAGAACCATTACTCTAAGGCAATTGGATTTTCAAAAGTATTAGTTTCTTTAGGCAGATATTAGAGTGTACAATTCAGTGGGTTTAGTATGTTCTTAAAGTTGTGCCACCATCACCGTGATCTCCTTCCAGAACATTTTTATCACTGCAGTAGGAAACCTAGTATTCAAGCAGTCTTTCCCCATTCCCCACTCCCCCCAGCCCCTGGCAGCTACTAAGCTATGTTTTTGTCTCTGTAGGTCTGTCTATTCTGAAATTTTATACAAATGGAATCATATAATATGTGGCCTTTTATATCTGACTTTTCACTTAGCTTAATCTTTTCAAGGTTCTTCCATGTTGTAGCATGCATCAGTAGGTACTTCATTCCTTTTATGGCTGAGTAATATTCCATTGTATGGATATACCACTTTCTTTTATCCTTTCATCAGTTGATGGGCATTTGGTTTAGCTATTATGAAGAAAGCTGCTATGAGCATTCATATACACATTTTTGTGAGGACCTAGATTCTGATTTAATTGGGTCTAGGGTAGGGTCCATGTTGGTATTGTTTAAAAGCTCCCCCAGGTGATTCTAACATGTAGTCCCTCTGAGAACCTCTGGTTTAGAACCTTATTACTCAAGTGTGGTCCATGGGCCTGCAGCTCAGCTTTACTGGGGAGCTTATTAGAAATATGGACTCTTGGGCCCCACCCAGACCTACTGAACCAGAATCCACATTCTAACAGCATCTCTGGGTAATTCACGAGCTCACTAAAGTGTGAGAGGCACCAGTTTAGGGATATACTCTGGGTCCTTGATGGCCAGTGTAATACTGTTCCCTTGACAAAATGTACACTAACTCCAGAGAAGAAATTTATTAGGTACTACCTTTATGTCCTGCACACAATTCCATACAAAGTTGGGGACAGAGAGTGTCATTTGAACCTCCATCGTGTGCCCAGTGCCTAGCACTGTCATAGCATAAAGCGGGTGTGAGATAAAGATTGATCAAGTGGAAGCACCAGGGAGCCACTGAACCCTTCAGTGCATCTGTGTGTCCGGGGGATGGCGAGCTCCAGCGCTTGGGGAGGCGGGGTAGTGGGGGCTGCTGCCAGCACCTGAGTGATCTGAGTGCCTCAGTTACGCTCTCTGAGCGGGGTTGTGCATGAGGCTGCTCACAGGCTGAGTAAAGATCAGATTATTTGAGCCCTGGAGGTAGTGACTGGGACCGATTGGGTGGTACTCCCCACCTGGCCTCAAGAACCTGGAAAGAGGAAAGAAAGGTTGGTCTCTACGACTTAAACTCCAAAATAAACAGAAAGAATCTTCACACACCTATAAAGTCAGTCAGAAACAATAGACCCCAGGCCTGAGCCTTCAATGAAAGAATCAATCCGGCAAAGACATAGGAGGAGATCTGAAGAGGGCGTGATCAGCGTAGAGGAACAGAGGGGACAGTGACAAGATGAGCCTGAGCCAGGGGTGGTGAACTGACACCGCCCCCCGCCCTACACCGCCCCCACCCACCCCGCCATCCCCAGCTGAATCAGGCCCATGCATATTTTTCGTTTGGCACTCCAGTGTTTTCAAAAATAGAGTTTGCTGCAACATTTAAAATTCAAAGGATTTCACTACTAAACCTGTCGCCGTGACGCTGGAGCTGCACAGCGGCTGACCCCTTCGTGGGAGCCAGCGCCCTCTGTTCTGCTTCCCGACCCCCTCACCCCAGCCTGTTTCATTCAATAACGGGTTTGTCTGGCCCTGAGGCCATCTGTTTGCCATCCCTGGAGAAGCGGAGAGGACACTAAACAGATGACCGTTCGTGCTGTGAATAAGTTGGCTTTCTGGCCTCGTAACCAAGCCTTTTTGAGATTGATTAACATGAGTCTGTCTGTGCCCCGGACTAGTCTCTGTAGACTGAGTCCGATTCCTGAGTCCTCATTCCACAGAGAGCTCAGGCAGCCTGTAGCTGAGGTGCTGGTGGTGGTAACAGTGGCTGTGATTGTCCTTGTGTGGGACTTTCTGCCAGGGACGGTGGCTGCTGGGCCCTGTGGCTCTCCTCCCTCCTTCCTGTATCTCTTTGGAAAGGGCCAGCCACACAGCTCTGGAAGCTGCCGCAGACACTTCAGGTTTTCTGAACTCTGGGGGCTCCTCCCAGTTTTCCTATGCTTGCCCTCTGAGGGGCTTGGGTAGGGCTCTGGTGACCCAGGTGCATGAAGCATGAGCAATCCTTCCACTTCTTCCAGGCCTCGGCCAAAACTTAGGGCGACTCTTTCTCCTTTTGCATTGCAGGTATCTTTTGTACCTGCAAATTAAAAGAGATATTTTCCACGGTCGACTGCTCTGCTCCTTTTCAGATGCTGCCTACCTGGGTGCCTGTATCGTCCAAGGTAAGTGTGGCCACGGCTGCCCATCCCCACCATTGTACTGGACAGTAGAGCTTCGGCTGTTCAGAGACTCCCTCCTCCCCAGCCTGTGCCCATCCAGCCCGTGTCATGGTTTGAGGCCAGGCAGGGCTGGGTACTTAGCAATGGACCCCCGCCTCCCCTTCCCTCCCAAGCCTCTGGGGTCCTGGTGGAAGGCTAGGGTGCGGTGGTCACAGGGGCTTCTGCAAGAACGGAGGTCCTCAAGGCCCCGAGGTAGAGCTCAGACTCTGTTTCAAAGGGGCTGGAATGCTTGACTTTATAAGAAGCTCCGAAGCGATATGGGGTGTTCTGTGCTCTGAGCTCCGACCACCAGGTGTGGGGCGTGATGGGTATATTGAGCGGGGGATCTGTGTCCAGGAAGGTAGGTGTCAAAGGGGTGTCCTTTCAAACCTTTGAAGTGAAATATCAAAGCATTTATACATATGTATTCACATGAGTAGTATGTGTCTATGTGTGCACTGTATCTAATGCTTCAGCTTTTCTCGTCATGCAGTATGGTGAGGAGAGCATCAGGCTCACAGCCTGTCATTCTACAGTTTGAACCTGAATTCCCATTTCCTGGTTATTTCACCATAGACAAATGATTTAAACTCTTTAAGCTTCGGTGTCTTCATATATTGAATGAAGGTGGTCATACTTGTGTGACAATTTCATGAGACTTATTCTCAGGGTTGAACAAGCCCCAGAGGGTGGGGCATTGGGAAGCAGCAAGCATATAGGACCCAGGGTAAGCTTCTGGATGTTTCGACCTGTAAGAAAAAAGTGTTTGAGAGAAGGCTGTCTCCAGAGCCCAAGGCAGAGCATCGTCATGGGGACGGGCCCAGGACCCAAGTGAAGAACGACTCAGATGTTCCGTTCCCCTGGGTCAGCTGGGAGGCAGCTGGCAGCAGGGCCTGCTTGGAGGGACTCAGGTGTTCCAGCCATTTGTAGCATGGATGCTGATGACATGTTTATGAGAGAAGGGGAGGGTGGAGAGGGGAACTAGGAGAAGAGAGGAAGGATGGAGGGGAGAAGGAAGGAAGCAGGTGAGGACAATGGGAGAGAGAGAGAGGTTACCAAGTGAGCATGTCACCCTTATAAAGGATCTGAAATAATGAAGAAGCTTATGATGGGGTCATAAGCGGATCATGACAATCGTCTGTCTGATCACAATTCCAACCTTCATTCACAGCTTAAGAGAGACACCCATCATTCTCCTGGGGGTTTCTGTCACTCACCACTGTCCCCACGGGATGCTCTGTGCTGTGAAATAGTTCCTAGGACCCTGTTTCCAGGTGTGTGTGCTCTCTGAGAATTCTGAAGTCTATCTGTGTTGCTTTTCCCCATCCTCTGGGAGCGACCTAGTGCCACTCAGCAGATTTTAGCAGTGGTGTTAAAAACCCTTGGAGATACTCAAGTTTAAAGTTAGAATGACAGTGATAGCCTGATGGGAAATAGGCCTTCCATCTGTCCCAAGGTGGAGTGTGTGCTTCTGAAAGCTGCCTCTCTTATATAGAGCTAAGGAATGTTCAAACCCCAAAGTTCTTCTTCCCTGTGAAGACTGCACGTTCCTAGTTAGGGTGCACTGTCTTCCATGAGGGATAAAGCAAATCGATACTAATCCAAGCAACAGACTGGCATTTGAGGATTTCAGGATGCATTTAGGCATTAGTGAATCATGGTCAGTTGTCCAAGGACAAGCTCAATATGGATCTGTAATGGGAAAACTCTCCATCCTGGTTTATGTTTGAAATAAAGCCACAAAGCCTCCATCCAGATGATCAGGGCCCTATTTTATCCCTCGTTGCTGTTATCACTGATCATACTCACAGATGCTGTCGAGAGAGTAGAGTTGGAAGGGAACTGACAGACCTCAAGAAAACCTTTCAGCTCTAAAACGCAGCAGTGTCCATGGACCATTTGTAGCAAATCCAGTAAAAGCTGGATTCATCAAGTTCTCTGATGCTCGGGGTGGTATTACAGCAGCTCTAGAGATCATTACAAATGCAGATATACATCTGCTTTGTCAGAAGTGCTTACGCTTACAGAGAGCGATAGGGAATGTGGAGTAAATGATTAGAAAGCAGAGGACATGTGACTTTTTACTGGCCTCTTGTTTGCTAACACTCTTTGAAGGAGCATGTTTTAAGCTTCAGAATATTCTGACTGTATAAAACAGGCAGCCACCCAGCGTTTTGCCACCGTACACACTGAATACAATGAGCATATTCAATACACGCTTTGCATTGTCTTCATAATACCAATTGCAAAACAAATACGCGAAGCCCTAGGAATCTATTTATGTTCTTTCTTGATACAAATATCTTTCCTGTTCCTTCTACAAAACAGCAATATGGCAGGGTTACTGTTCTTATCTCCTCTGCCTGGTGTGTGCAATCCCTGTGGGTCTGTGGCTCCGTCTTGATATTCAGAACTCCGTTCAGATGTCACTTCCTCTGAGAAGTCTTCCTGGACTACTGAAGTAGCCTCTCTCTGCACATCATTTCTTTCTCATGCCCCTGTTCTGTTGTCTTTTAAGCACTTATATTTGAAATTATCTTGTTGAGTTGTTTGGGGGCTTATTATGCATTGCCCCTTATGTAGGATCTAAATTCCATGGAAGTAGAACTCTGGGGGTCTTTTTCACTGTAGTACCCCCATGTCTGGCACACAGTAAGTTCTCCACTAAATATGTTAAGTGAACTAGGGCACTTGCCTAAATTGCACCAATGTATGCTTTATTTCTATACTTGGGAAAGAGTGGTTGTTTCACTACCTCATCCATGTATTTGTCATGTGTTTTCTCAACATTTATTGAAGAGCTCCTAGGTGGCAGGCCACTGCAATGTGAAGTCCCTGTAGGGGGAAGGGGACAGACAAGTAAACAGGAAGCTGTGATGATGTGTTAATCTCTAAACAGAGGGACACACAGGGTCCCTGCTCTGAGCCCAGGAGGGCCCCCCACTCAGCAAGGGTAGTCAGGGAAGGTTCCCAAAGGAGTTGACCCTGGGGCTGTAACGTCCTATATCTCAAGTTCTTTTGGAGTGAGTCCTCTCCAAACCAGGGGAAATGCCATTGTCATGCTTGCCCTTTGTACTTACCGTCACCTGATCACACTCATCCTTTTGCTTCAACTCTTTGGATTTTGCTGACAATTAAATTCTCTTTAATTTTAATTTAATGTCATCTTAATTTAAATTCTCGCAAGCCGTCCCATGTACTGTATGTTATTTGTTGTAACTTTACCCTCATCGTCACATGTGGGAGAGAGAACCACAGGCTCCTTATCCAACTCCTCTGTGGAAAACAAAATTTGAAGTTAGAAGTCCTTAATCATTTATAAACGGCTTTTTGCTTCAGGTGAAGTCAGAGTTAAAGATAAGCTTTAAGGAACAAGAAAGCTGGGCATGTGATAGGGGAAACATCGACATTTACCTTGTCAGCAACCCTGTGCAGTTTCCATGGCATTTCTTCTCTAGTTCGCCGGCATTTGCCAGGCTACTTATTCGCTATGTTTAGCAGTCCAAGGCCATTGTACTTCACAAGTTTTCCTGGAAAGAGAAATGCCCACCCAAAACAAGACAAGCACAAACAACACCACCCATCAACTGTGCAAGGTGACATTGCATTGGACATGGCCTAGTTTAATATCAGTGGTCCATGCCCTGTGGAAAAGCAGGCATTGGGTTATACCATCCCCTAAATTTTGGGGTCCATAGCCAGCTCACAGGGGCATGTGTATGTGTGTGTGTTTGCGTGTATGTCTAGGTGTGTTATGTGTGTTTCTTTTGAAACTTAGATTGAGTTAATCATCATTTCGTGGCTCACTTTTCATCACTGGTCCCATCTATTGATTGATTGATTTCCCTTTTTTCATTATTCTCCATTTCTGTTCCTAAAGGCAACAACTGGGTTCATGTATATCTTTGACTTGGAATACATCCTCGTAAAATGATTAGTATTGTCTTGTGTGTATATACTCTTAAGTTTCATAAATTAAATGGGGCTATAGAACACATTTAATCCTTCCTTTATATGCTCAGAACACTGAGGAATCTATTCACATTTCTGGGTATACATCTATTTTGTTGCTTTTAATTGCTACAGAGTATCCAGTAGGGTGCATTGCCCATGTGCTATTTACTGCTCCCAGCAATAATGAACACCCGAGTTGCCCCATATCTTTTTTCACACCTAGAGTTTTTTAGAATATACACCCAGAAATGGATTGCTGGGTAATAATATTAGGCTAAATACTCCCAGCTTGCTCTCTAGAAGAGCTACGTGCACCAAGAATCTTCGGACGTGTACAAGTACTTCTATTTCTTCATGTCCCTGCCAACACATAGAATCATCCGGCTTCCTAAACTTTTTGTTAATCTCATAGGTGTAAAGTGACATCTTCTAGTTTGGGTTTGTACAGCTCTCATTACTGATGAGTTTGGGCAGCTCTCCATACATGAGGCCTTTGGGTTTCCCCTTCTATGAATTGGCTGTTGATATTCCTTGACCATTTTCCTATTGGAGTTCCTGCCCATGTACTTATAGATTTGTAGGGGTTCTTCCTTTATTCTAGATATTAGCCTTTGTCAGATTTAGATTTTGCAAATATGTTATTTCAACTTATCTATTATTTTGACTATGTCCTTTAATGAACAGAAATATTTTTATTTTGATATGATCAAATTAATCAGTTTCCCCTCTATGGCTGATGGCATTTTGGGTCTTATTTGGGTCTTCCTCCGGTGGTATATATTTTAAGTTGTTTTCAGAGCTCTGTAATTTGAGCTCTATTAAGAAGCTTTAAAGAGCTTTGCTTTCCTCCCAGTTTTATCCTTTTACAGTCATTACATGATTCAACAATGAAGAGACAGTAGATACAAATTACTGAGTTGGATGTGATTTTGCAGATGTGCTTAAGGCATTTTGATTTCTATCTACTTCAAAGTCATGTTGGTGATCAAGTTCTTCAGTACCATTTTCCC